TCCGAGCTTGCTCCAAGTCCTGAGCTGTGGTGCGAGCTGGAGGTGAGCTTAGTGATCGTCTGAGCTTGTGAGCGATTCTCATGCAGATAGCAGTGATCCTTAATAGCTTGATTAGGGATGAATATCGGAACACTAGGTCCCAATGATATGTAGGCTTAGGAGCAGCAACAAGTAGCGTCACTCCCGGACGAGCCTCTGTATTTCCGAGCGATGAAGACAATTCAGGTTGAGTCGGCCATGACGTTTGATCTTTGGTGAGCCATTGTGGCCCGGTCCACCACAACGGATGGTCCTTGAGTTGGTCTGTGGTAACACCTCGAGACGCGCAGTCTGCCGGATTCATACTGCCAGGAACATGACGCCAGATGGTATCTGTGCACAATTCTTGAATTTGCGTAACTCGGTTCCTAACGTAGTCCCTCCAGCGAGATGCAGGCGATCTGATCCAGATGAGCGTAACTTGAGAGTCCGTCCACATATGTGTTGCGTTGACCTTGAGCTTCAGTGTGGCTTTAATATGAGCTGCGAGCTTTGCGAGCATGAGTGCAGCCGTGAGTTCCAGCCGCGGTATTGTGAGTCGTTTCAGCGGTGCTACTTTCGTTTTAGAGCACACTAATGCTGAGCACGAGCCGGTGGACGGTGATCTTACAGTCAGATAAATGACTGTTCCCATGGCGAGCTGAGATGCGTCCGAAAATCCATGAAGTTCCACTACTGAGTCACTCCATGTGTTTAGCCACCGTGGAACTGAGACGCTGGCCAGCGAGTTGAGTTGATTTCTTATTGAGAGCCACCTTGAGCCAATTGACGCTGGTAAGGGCTCATCCCAGCCGAGCTTGAGTAACCAGAGCTCTTGTAGTAATACCTTGGCCTTGATTACCACCGGAGAGACAAGGCCAAGTGGATCAAATATCTGAGCCACTTCCGATAGAACGAGGCGTTTTGTGAGTTTCTCTTGTGCTGCTCCGAATTTGGATGAAAAGATGAATTTGTCTTCGTGAGGAATCCATTTTAATCCGAGTAGTTTGGTTTCGCAGTCGTCAAGTGAGACCGTAGCCGTTGGCGAGCTGGTGAGTGCGATGTTTCGCCCGCCATCAGCAAGCGTTGCTGATGTGAGCTCTCCCTCAATAGAGATGCTGGTTAACAGCTGATTGTCAGATGCATGCCACTTTGCAAGAGGAAAACCGCCCGCATTGCACAGGTTGATTACATCATGAGCCACAGCAGTGAGTTGAGTGACCGTGTCAGCCCCACCGAAGATATCATCCACGTACCGACCATGAGTGAATGAGGGCA